ATAAGTATATAAAAAAAGAAAGAACTTATGGCAAATTGGGAGCAAGTATCCAAGAAATTAGCAAATCCATGAATTCCTAAAAGAAACAAGATTAGGATAATTTTTTCAAACTCCGGATCTTAAAATTGGTGCTTTTGGGTTTTTCTACTTCTAATTCTCACCTTTCTCCGGTAGCTATCGCTTCCACTTTTGGTCAATCTTCTTCTGGATCATCTAAAACATTTTTGTAAGCCCAAACATAATGAATATCTGGTCGTTCTTGGGTTCCAGCATTTATTTTTAGACGATAAAAAATTTGTCCATAACTCTCAACCTTATAAGTTTTTCCTCCGATAATACTTTCTTTCTTGTTGACTCTTTGTTTTAGTTTCTCCAAAATATTACCGGTTAAAAAGTAAGTTTTGGGTTTGGCGGTTTCTTTTTCCTGAAAAATAACCTTCTGAATTTCTTCCCAAACTGGTTTATCATCTTCTTTTAAGTTAGGTTCAATTCTTTTCATCAATTCATAAATTCGGAGTTTTTCCTCTTTATTTATTCAACTCTTTTTAGTTACGGGCAGTTCAGAACCATCACTAAATTTAATAGTTAACCCGGAATCTACATTTGTTTTATCAATATTTTCGGTCATTATATAAGAAATATTTACACAATTTACACCAATCCTTTTGCTTTATTTTCTAACAAGGGGCATATAAATTAGATTTTTATCTTCTTACCATTCACCCCCAAAAGTTCTAAACAACCAAAACAACAGAGCAACGGCATTAGTAATACAAAAAGATAATCAGTAATGTGGAGTATAACCAAACGCACTCTGTATAGCCCAAACTACCAGCATAGCCAGATTAGAGGCCAACAAACTAAACAGTAAAGACTTTCAGATATTTTTAGACATAATTTTATTTCCTATTCTTTCCATTTCCACAAACAACCGCCAGTGCCACAATAAGGGCAATTCCTCCAACCACACAAAGTCCAACAACAATTCAGTCCATGCGCTCTCTCTTTCTCTTTTCCTCGGCTAATTCTTGCTCTATTTTCTTAAAACAATCAGGACAAACATAATAAATGGCCCTTTCAATTGGCGTTGTATAAGTCACTGTTCTATATTTTCCCTGAAAATCATAGTCAACTAAATGTTTAATTCATTTTTCAATCCTTACTTCTTTGCCTTCGGCAATTTCTTGCTCGCATTTTTGACAGAATTTAGGCATGTTATTCTTCAATAATAATGTCCCCTTTTCCAAATTCATGCCCTAATTCAAAGGTTCCACTTTCACACTTAGGGCATTTGCTCTTTTCGTCTAATACCATTTGGGAACAATATTCGCATCAGACTTTTCTCCTGCCTCCTTTTTTTTTATTTTTGGTTCCTTTATTTTTTTCTTCTTGCCGTTTAACTTTTTTAGTCGTACTCATCTAGTAGAACAATTGGTTCTTTCGGCTTTTTTTCTGCAATATAGCCTAGAAAACGATTAAATCCTTCCTGTCCCTCCAACTCTTTAATTTTATCCAAGCATTCTCAAATCTTTTCTTTGTATTTTAAGGCTTTCATGGACCTATTAACACAATCTTTACAGTAATAGAGGTAGGCAGTGTGAATTTCCTTTATTTTTCCTGTTTTAGTGTCTTTAAAATCTTGGTAGGTTTTTTCTCGACCAATATTAGTTGAGCCACATTTTTGACAAGGTTTTTGATTTTCTTTCTTGTTAACGGCCATATTTACAATTTTTTATTACCATATCCTAGCGATTGCTTATTATCTTCATTTGTCTCCTTTCATTTCTGATAAATTCTTTTTGCTTTTCACTAATAAGATTTTCTCATTCCTCATCAGTTAAAGAAGAATTGATTGTAAAACGTTCTTTTATGAAATTAGGAAGATTTTCTCTATCTTTATCTTCTTTACATTCAAGACCAAAAGGATTTTGAGGAAAATTTACCATTTCTGGACTTGACATCTTATCTAGCAGATCCAGAAATTTTTTATTTTTAGTAAAATTTTTATTTACTCTAATTATTATTCTCATATTTATTTATTTTTAAGAGATTTTGTAAGTAAAAAACATTTCTTTCAATCCATCACCATCAAATTTAGCCAAAGTTTCTTTTAAAGTCAAATTGGATACTTTATTCAATCAATATTTGGCCGTGATATACTCTTTACAGGTCTGAACTGTTTTTGTTTCATCTTCTTCATCAGTATATTGATTTAAACATTCATAATGCTTAATGATTTTATAATCTTGTTTTTCAGTGTCATAAATTTCAACATCATTATTAATGGCTTTTAGGGAATTCATGGATTTGCTAATTTCTTGGATACTTGCTCCCAATTTGCCATAAGTTCTTTCTTTTTTTATATACTTAT